TATATTAAAAAGAGTATACACTATGATGAAACGGGATTTATTCCAGGAATGCAAGGCTGGTACAATATCTGCAAATCAATAAATGTGATACATCACATAAACAAATTAAAAGACAAAAATCACATGATCATATGAACAGATGCAGAAAAAGCATTTGACAAAATCCAACACCCATTTTTGATAAAAACCTCTTGGCAAAGTGGGACTAGAGGGAGCATATCTCAATATGATAAAGACCACATATGACAAACCTACAGCCAACATCGTACTCAATGGGCAAAAATTAAAACCATTTCCCCTAAGAACAGGAACAAGACAGGGATGCCTGCTTTCACCACTCCTGTTTGACAGAGTCCTGGAAGTGCTAGCCATAGTGATCAGACAAGAAGAAACAAAAGGTATCCAAATTGGAAAATAAGTATAACTGTCATATTTGCAGATGACATAATATTGTACACAGAAAACCCTAAAGACTCCATCAAAAAACTCCTAGACTTAAACAAATTCGTCAATGTAGCAGGATACAAAATTAACACCCAGAAATCTATGGCTTTTTTATATACCAACTAGAGGCCCAGTGCACAAATTTGAGCACTGGTGGGATCCTCAGGGTGGCCTGCGGAGACGGCTTCACAGGGGAGTTTTTCCAAACATTCAAAGAAGAACTAACACCTATTCTCCTCAAACTATTTCTAAAAATCCAAGAGGAAGGAATACTTCCAAACTCTTTTTATAATGCCAGCATTATCTTAATTCCAAAACCAGGTAAGAGAATTACAGGCCAATATCCCTGATGAACATAGATGCTAAAATCCTCAACAAAATATTAGCAAATCATATCTAGCAATATATCAAAAAGATTATACACCATGATGAAACGGGATTTATTCCAGGGATGCCACAGCTCTTGCCCCCAGCCTTGCAGCCCTGCAGCCCTGCCTGGCACCCCGCCTTGGCCTGGTGCCACCCCCTCACCTGTTCCACCAGGACCGGAACCCACCACTCAGCTCCCTCAGCACCTGGGAGCCAGGCGGTGGTCCTGCCCCCTGCGCTGGCACTGGTGGCTGTCTGTGGGGCAATCGGCCCCACCAGCTCAGCTCCCTCAGCACCTGGGAGCTGGGTGGCGGCCTGGCCCCCTGCCGCTGGTCGCCATCTGAGGGGTGATTGGTGGGACGATCAGGCCCCCGTTCACACTCATCTTGGCCTGGCACCACCCACTCACCTGCTCCACCATCCCACCATGTTCCTGCTCACCAGGGCTGGCAATGCCTCCACTGTTGCCCACTGCCAGTGCCACATCACTGGTGCCTGCCATATTCCATGCCGCCCCCTGGTGGTGAGCACATGTTGTAGCGAGTGGTTGAACTCCTGGCCGAATGACCACCCGAGGGGACAATCTGTATATGAGGCTTTTATTATAGAGGCCAATGAACTCACAGAAAGTGAAACTAAAAAAAAATCCCATTTACCATTGCAACAACAAAAAAAATAAGATACCTTGGAATAAACTTGTCTAAGGAGGTAAAAGACCTGTATTTGGAGAACTGCAGGACATTGAAAAAAGAGAGAGAAAGACATAAACAAATGGAAGAATATACCATGTTCATGGATTGGTAGAATCAACATCATTAAAATGTTCACACTACCTAAAGCAATCTATAGATTCAGTGCAGTACCCAGTAAGATACCAACAGCATATTTCACAGACCTAGAACAAACTCTCCAAAAATTTATATGTAATAAAAAAAGACCCAAATAGCCTCAGCAATCCTGAGAAAGAAGAACAAAGTTGGAGGGATCACAATACCAGATATCAAGCTGTATTACAAAGCCACTGTTCTCAAAACTGCCTGGTACTGGCAAAGGACAGATATATACTAGTAGACCAATGAAACAGAACAGAGAACCCAGATCAACCCAAGCCATTATGCTCAATTAATATTTGACAAAGGAGGCAAGACCATACAGTGGAAAGGAACACTTGTGCACTGCTGGTGGGAATGCAGACTGGTGCAGCCACTATGGAAGACAGTATGGAGTTTCCTCAAAAAACTGAAAATGGAACTCCCATTTGACCGCGTGATCCCACTTCTAGGAATATATCCCAAGAAATCAGAAACACCAATCAGAAAGGATATATGCACCCCTATGTTCATAGCAGCACAATTCACCATAGCTA